TTGGTATGCGCCCGTTTCAGTTACGTATTGCTAAATGAAATTCCAGTTTGGTGGTTTACGGTATTTTTTTAATACGACCCTGTCTATCAATAGTTTATTTCCTGGGAAATTTTTTGATAAGTTTTAATCCGACCCTGACTCGGCACCCATAATGTTGTTTTCAAGGTCAAATTTATAGAAGTGTTTAAAACAATGGGATCCTGGGCAGAGTTAGCCTGCAGTGTGATTATAATAACCGTGCTGCCGGTTTATCCATCCAGCGTGGAACAGGCAGTGTATGTCAATGGGTTTCTCACTTATGGATCAACAGCACATTCAAAGGGATTTCAAGAATGGTCACCCGTCCATCCACTAGTATTGCCTCACTTTGCTTAACTTCGGAGATCTAACAGCCATATCTAACGGGAACCCTTGGTTCAAGTCTCTTTCGTTTTCTTGACGTATTGTTGGCGACTGGCGACATTACTATGGAGCACAATACTAACGCTATGGAGTGTAGAGGTAAGGAGAAATAACTCCGTGCATTAAAAAATGGTCAAAAAAAAGGGAAGAATTGGGATGGCGTTGCTGTAGCAAGATTCTAAAATTAAATTTAAGACATGCGCCCAATGAGGTTATATACAGGGAGATGCTATGAGCATTTAAAGTGCTTGCGAAAAATGGTAACACTAGGCGTGGCTTAAGCCAGCAACAATATGGCGGCATTAGCAGGGCCGGATTACAGAAACTTCTTTGAAACATTTTGTTTTACACAATATAACGACCTCAACTTTATTAAATAAAAAATTAATTAATCAAAATAACTACAAAACCACAATTTTTTCAAAATATAAATTACAAGATTAATTTTAATGACTATATACTATGTATATTTAGGAGGGAAACACAAAAATATTACACATTAAATAAAATTAAATTTTATTGCTCACTAAATAACACTGTTTTGTTGCTAATATGTCTTAAACTAATTGCCTTGTTTTTATTGATGTATCAAAATATTAACCTTAACGTTTGTAAAATTAGAAAAAGCCGGAAAATAATTAAACGATTACTGATTTACCAATTAACATTTTTATTAATCATTAAAATTTGAGAAATCTTAGAATTATTATTTATTTGAGATATTTTATGAGATGTTCTGCCAAAATGGCTATCAGAAAATGTTTCGAGCATAGAACTACCTGATGTAGCTTGCCAGTTTCTCCTGTTCACAAACTTCACCCAAGCTTCTCGACGGATGGGATTCACGAAACCTAAAATCCAGATTTAATATAATATTTATTTGATAAAAGTTTTCTAAAGAGAGCAAAATTTATATACTACATACTAAATTTAAAATGTTCTGATATAAAAATTGTATTAAAATAATAGAGATGTTTTTCAATGATAGGTCGTTAAGACTTTATCTGCAAAAAAAATAAATTTACTGTTGCGTTAGTTTGCATATTTACCTAAGGAATTAAAGAAACTATACTATATAAAAGTTTGTACATAGTATATGCTAGCAGATAGTAAAAAGGAATGCAAATAAATGTTTAAGTACAAAATCTTAGTGTAAAATAGAAAAATAAAATAAATAGTTTTTTTTTGAAAAACTTTTAATTTATTCAACGAATACTCTTTCCTGTCCAAAGAAATTATATGTTTGTAGTAAAAATATGAATATTGTTAAAGTCTTTTTAAAACTGAAGTCGAGGCATGTTTTAATAAACTTAATTACTCTAACAAAGTGTTAAATAACTAAACACTTTGTCAATATAGAAACTACCAATATTTAATTAATAAACGCATAACTAGTTTAAATGGAAGAAAATGCGAAAATAGATTGAAATCAGGTCCTGTATGTTTACACTTACCTGTGAAATGCAATTTCAGTGGATTTCTTCCTCTCTACACGTTGTCGGCTTCACAGCAATACTTACAGCACACGAGGGCTGCATTCCGGAAGGATCAAATGTTCAAATGAAAACACAAGAGCGGTGTGAAGATTAAAAACACTCGCAGCAACACTTAGACTTAACCTAAAAACTGAACCACAAAACACATACACGTAGATTTTCCGAAACAAGGTATGGTCGATAGCGGCTCCAATTTCGTTAAGTTTGCGCTTACCACCTGTGACGTCATACATATACAAAATGTACATATTGTTCAATTGCCACCTTTATTACCCACTAATAAAAAGAAGACCACAAAATAGGAAGGAGTGGGACCGCTGACAAAGTTATGTTTGACATCGAAGCTTGACTTGTTTAGAAGAATTATTTTTCACATTTTGTCACAATCAAATTTCACAGATGACACAATCTGTTTGACAATTTGAAATTGGCGCGCAGAGCTTGCCGACCAATGGTGCCGTTTATCACCTGTGACGTAGTGACCAACCTGCGCAGTATCATACCTTGTATTCTTTGTATCATGACACATACACAACTGAACTGTCAGAATTGCCAGTACCAATATGGCGTAACCAATGCCGTCTCTAATAGAACAGCTTTGGCGAGATTTATGACGTCACGCTAGTTAGATACTACGGATTAATAAATATGTTGTAGAATACATGGAAAACATAATTATTCCTCAGATTTTTGGTTTGTATTTTAAAAATGATATAGTTTACATGAAATATACATAAAATACAACAAAAAAAATATATATATACTTATTTATAGTAATAAATACTTTGGCAAAACTAAAACCAGCCCACAAAATAGCAAGAAAATGTTTACAATGTATACAAATGTGTATTACATAATATATTGGGTAAAATGTAAAATATATTTGTTTGGGATTTGAAAATCGATATAATTTAAAGGAAAAAAATTTTTTTTTTTTTTTTTTTTTTTGTATTATTATTTTGCATTTTTTTTTTTTTTTTTTTTTTAATATTTTGCAAATTATCAATGTTCGAAAATTATATTTACAAAATAGCTATATCAGCCTAAAAGGCATTAAGCGATAACACTTCGAAATGAAGATCGCTGGCATTTTATATAAAATTATATGTAGTAAAAATTATTCTGCAAATTTTTGATTTCTTGGGATTTTTAGGTTCGGGAAAACGCTGATTTAAGTTTTCATTTGGGTTTTCATTATTTTTATTTGTTTAAAAAAAACGCTTTGGCTAACTTCTTAGCCTTCATCAGTGTTGTGTCATATGAAAAAATAGTGTCGAATATAATCCACAAAATTACATATAAAAGATATTCACACCATAATGTTTTACTGCAATTAATAGAAACTAATACTCAAACTTATCAAAAGATACCACATATTTTTAGAATTACTAGCTTCTTAACAGGTAAAACTATCATTATGTGTTAATTATGGAGTGAATATTTTTATATGTAATTTTTGGATTATGTCCAGCATTAACCCTATATGACCTAGCTATAAATGAAACTATAATATTCCAACCGAAAGGTTTAAACCAAATAAAAAGAAAAAATAAATGAAAAATATATTATTTTTAGGTACAATTAGGGCCAATCAAAAAGTAGAATATTTAAATGGGGATTCAGAATATCAAATTTTCCAAAGTTGGCAAATTCTAGTTAATTATTTTATGTGTACAATTATTTAGGGAATGTCATCGATGTTCATTTACAAACCAACTAGACGCCGATTTTTTTTCGATGATACAGTACAAATTCTTACACATAAAATGTAAATAACTTTAGACCAATTAAAACAAGAAATAAATAAAAAAAAAAAATATTTTTTGAAGTAACGCTATTCTTAAAACTTAATTTTGTATTACAAATATGCAATTTTATTGTTGTTTTATTCATATTGTATTCAGCCATCACTTAAATATTTGATATTAATTTGGTATTATAAATGAAATCAACTTTTATTTAATTAAAATTATTTTTTTTTTTTTTTTTTTTTTTTTATTATATTTATATTATCAAACAAAAACACATTCTTCTTTTAAACTTTATCATTCTTGTCTTTACAAAATCTTTTTAATTTTGAACTCAAAATAATAATCTTTTTCATGATCTTTAATACACATATTCTTTATTTTTCCCTAGATCCTAATACCTACTTGCATTGTTTGTGAATCTATCGGAAGCTAGACCAACAACACTTGGGTGATTCCTGTATGAATAAAATAAACATAATTGTCCAGTTTTCATTAATACAATCATGGGGGAATATTATTTTTAAATTTATTAAAGATGTTTCCAATAGAATTGTCTTGGTTTATAACTCGTACCCACTTTTCTTGCTCTTCCGGACACTTTAGGCTGCCTAGTGTAACTATCCTTTCCACCATGAACACAACAAAGATGAGCCAAAGCACCAAAAACACACTCACTTAAGCTTTATTGATGAATTTTTAGAGTCTTAAAAAACACACACAAAATCACGATAAATAAAAATTTATGGGCACTTTTAGGTTAAAGCACTTTAACAAAACGTGTTATGTGTAATATTTCGTGTTTTTATGAGAAACAGAGTGACCATCATAGCGACCATATATCTGGTAGTACTTTATGTCACTTAAACACCAAAATAATTAGTTTTTTGCACTACAATAACAAGTAATACTAAAAATCAACCGACAAAATATGAATACAGAATCTAACCCAATATCTAAGTATGTACAGCTGATGAAGTAAACGAAAGTCCGCTCGTAGGCTGATCTTATATAGAGGGCATTGGAACAATGCTTTAAGTAAAGTCCCTAGTATGGTCCCTAGATATATAAAGTACCCAAAGACATTATAAAGACCTTCCTTATTCTTCCTAAATCTATGAGAGAATTTACCACCAATTACCGCCATGGCCAACAAAACTAACTGGCAAATTCAGGAGGCCAACTTATTTCGCTGTTTCGGCTTTTTAAGCAGCTGGTCCGTCCAGCATATTATGGCCCTCTAACTGATGACAAGCAAGCCGTAAATAAAATATTTATTTGTAATAGAATTACGTTTATTATCTACAGTTTACCTTCATTTTAACGTAATATCAGGTGGTATAATAATATTCAATTTCATAGAATTTAATTTTTAGGCTTATATGGCAATCCCAAGAGGTTATAAACGAATGGTTTCCGTACAAGTGTTTTCATTTTGTATTAGCATTTATTTTATATTACCTTTTAGCGCAAAGTACGCTAACAGAAGTAAGTTAATAGGTAAGGGGAAATAAAGGTGGAGTCTTATATAAAATTTTAGTACTTAATTCAGTCAAAACAATTGGAAAAACTTTGTTGATGAGAATGGGATACCTATACCATAAGTAAACTTTCCCTATTATACCAGTTATGCCATAGTTTAGTTTTATTAAAATAAGCATAGCTTTAATGAAAGCCTTTGGAACTATGAATAAGCTACAAACTTATATTTGACAGCCGGCTTTTATACGAGAAAAATTTTGAACTATGG